ATTAAAAATTTTATTTTATAAAAAATTTCAACGAAACTCTATGCATCCATCTAAAAAATACCTCTTGTATATGTCTGAGGTGGTGAATGTTGAGTGGAGAGTTGAAGGATTTTTGGCATTGAATATAAAACTTGACATACACTAAATACTACTGATGTCACTTTGTGCTCATGTAATTTGTAAGAACATGTAACAACCTTAGTGAATTTAAAGTAATTAACATATTTGTGACATAGTTCTTTCATTTAATATAAACTTTCAAATAAAAACTTTAATTCTCACACACACACACACACACATATATATATACGTATATACAGATAACTAACCTAAAGCCAAGCATGTGGTTATCACAGCGGGGACGTTATTGAGCCTGAGAACAGTGTTGACTATAAGTCATGTTTTAAACAGGTAACTTTGATCACTCAGAAAATAAGCTTAACAAAATGTTTTGGTAAGACTGAAATATATGTTAGAGAGTTGCTATTAAAAACAAGAGTTAATTACATTCTGTTTGTTTTTGTTCTAGGGTGCTATTTACTATTTCAAGATTGCTGTTGCACTAGCTGTAGCTGCAATTCCTGAAGGTCTAGTCTTTCTACTTCATCAAATTAGGTATCTTTATACCATAACATTAACCTTTTATACCACATATAAATACCATAGGTTCTGCCTACCAGATAAATTCTAATATTGAACAACAGGCCTCACAGGCAGTGACTTGTAGGAAAAAAACAAAGATCTGAAATGCTATTTTTCCACTTGTGATTTAAAATCTTAATCATGGATTACTTAAGAAAAATTGAGAAGAAAAAACATCTGTCAAATCAGAAAGGATATCTTCCATTTCAACACTGCAAATTGTTTAGCTATTTAATAAAATAAAAACGCTCTTAATTTTAATCAGTCAATAATATAATTTGAGGGCTACATGACTCTTTGGTACAGCAAAGTTTATCATTTGCTATCTCTGTAAAACATCACAAAAGTAATAACTTTTTACATATACATATTTTATTGATTAGTTCATAAACACTGTATTTAACTTGCTTAGAATTAGGTATAATTTGATTTGTTTGAAGTTAAGTACAAAGCTACACAATAGGCTATCTGTGCTCTGCCCACCATGGGTATCAAAACCCAAGTTTCTAGCGTTGTAAGTCTGTAGACATACCGCTGTGCCACTGGAGGACAGAATTAGGTATAATTTAGTAACTTTGAATATTATTGTACCTCTTATAAAGATAACTGTTAAAGTTAGCCCTGTTAAGCTTTTTTCTTATATACACTGTTTTTAATAGCTAGTTTTAACTAGTTACTGAATAAACTAGAACTGAGAGAAGACTAAAAATTCATCTCCTCCTCAGGAAATATTGCTGATATCACCAATGAAACATCACAGGAAAACTTCACATTTTTTAAGTATTTTTTCTAACTGTTGTAACTGTAGAACATAATTATGAAGATTTATATGTCTAAAGTTTTTTCAATATCTGTCAAAGAATGTCAAATTATGACAATAACAAAAACATACATGGCTTGCAAATCTAACATATCTCTTAGCCCATACAAGTTGTTCATAATTTACTTTTACACACACAAAGACTCAATTCAATCTTAAGGTTTTTTTTGAGTATCACAATTGTTTTAAAATCTTCCTACTGTGAAATCTGTCTTGAAAAAAATATCCTGTTCATCTCGAATAATTTTCAAAATAAAGGTGAACTAATTAGTACCACTTTCTGAAGCTGATGCATAAAGAATGCATTGAAAAACATTTACAATGTTAATGCTTCAAAATAGTTTCTGTACATTTCTTTGAAAATTGTTTTAGCATCCACAGCATATACACATAAACAAAATCCAACACAGGTCAGCTATAGCCCAATCAAGAATTTCTTACTTTCTCTAATGAGAGATTCTCTTCACATAAAAAATGTATGCTATTGGAAATAATTATGGAAATGGCAAGGAAAAAGGGTATAAAAAGGAGATATTGTGGGAATGCCACTCCTTTATTGTGTGAAAATGAATTGTACCAGTCACTCTTGATAGTTTACACTGTAATTGCTTGCCATCTAAACAACATAATGTGTTACACCAATATAAAGCCTACAAAAGTACAAACACTCATATCATTCCCAGTAATAGTAGTGTTAATCCAGCCATGGCTCCAGGGAATGAAATGCCACATAACAAGCATGTAGAAAGTCCCAATATTCCACACACAGAATTGTGGCAAGACAGTGTGTCTCAGTAAGAGCTTTATGCATGATACTGAAGAGAATGTGAAACTGGCATTGTAAATAATAGAAGTTGTCAAGGTAGAAAACCAAAACTTTCTAAAAGTGATGTAAGTATTTCATGACATGTTCTTTACATAACAGAAAACAGTTGAGTACAGATCTTGTGAACAACATTTCTGTTAATACAAGTGTGAATATTACCTCAAAAATAGAAAACAGTTGAGTACAGATCTTGTGAACAGCTTTTCTGTTAACACAAGTGTGAATGTTACCTCAAAAATAGTAAGATACAAATTCACACGAAATGGTCTCAACAGATGAGTAGATGCTCAAAAAACAAATTGCTAACAAAAAGCAAACAAATAAAAATGTTAAAATGAAAAATAAACTAAACAAAAAAATGGAAAGAACATAGTTCCTGATGCATGCTCTTCACATATGAATCTAACTTTGAGTTGTTCAAAACAACCAATGACAGAATGTTCAACAGTGGAGAGATGAACAATGTCATAGTCAATGTAGAACACCAACAGTGAAACATGGTAAAGATCACTGCAAGATTGGGGCTGCATCTCATCTAACGATGTTAGTAATCTACACAAAACTGATGGTTTCTTGAGTGCTTACAAGTACAGTTAGATTCTTATTAATACATTCCTTAAAATGTTCTTAAACTGAAAATGTATTTCTGATAGATACCTACCTCCACTCAGAAAAAACTTTCCCAACCTATACTGCCCTCTATCAGTGCAAATTTTCACT